AGTAGAACAACAGCAGAAATAGACGTCCTGACACCCCAAGGCCAAGCGATGGCAGACACAGACGCAGAACACAGCCTCTCCACGTGGGGGGGGAATGACGAAATAACAGCAGGGTACACATCAGGAGGGCACTGGGAGCGGACATGCAGAACACACTACAGCCAATGCAAGGAAGAAAGGAAACCAGAATGGGTAAGGGACGTAACAGACAGACACCGTAGAAAAGAGAATAAGGGATTAGAAATTAAATCCAGAGAAATTATACACACACTGCCACTGAGAAAAAGGAGATAGAAAATGCAAACAATGTTAAGAGATACAAAGGATACAAAGAAAGGCTGAAATATACATAGCTGACAATTTCAGAGACCATGGTATACAGTTTCTAGATGAAACACAGAAATCTAAACAATTAAGAAGCACTTCTTGTTCCAAGCTGAATTAAAAAAAAAAAAAAACTCAAGCCTAAAACAGTGAAATCAGAGATCAGAGCTAAGGAAGTGATCTTAAAAGAATTAATAACTACAAAGGAATATTAATAGACTTTTCAACAGAATAGCGTTTTTCTACTAACACAGCAGATAACAGACAATATACTAAAGGGAAAAGGTAAAATGAAAACATGCAGTGCTAATACACCAACAATGAAACAATGTATATATTGTTGCTGTTGTTAAGTGCTTCAGGTAGATTCCAACTCACAGCAACCCCAAACAGGGCTTCTGAGGAGCAGCTGGTAAACTGGTGACCTGGTGGGTTCGCAATCCAGAGTTTATCCTGTAACAAGTTATAATGATAGTCTAGTATCTGGGGCTCAAGTAAGAAGTGGATAGAATTAAACAATGGGCTCTTCATGTGGCATAGTAGGGGAAGTACTAGATCACAACGTCGGTGGTTCAAAACGCTGTATAGGGTTTCCAAGGAGTAGCTGGTGGTTTTAAATCACTGACTTTGTGGTTAGCAGTCCAGTGTTTACCTGACAGCGCTACATGGAAAGACCATTTCAACACGAGGTTAAATTTGTCTTAAGTAGGAAGTAAGGAGCTCTGGTAGCGTAGTGGTTACAAATCGGGCTACAAACCTTAAGGCCAGCGGTTCGAAACTACCAGCCGCTCCGCGGGAGAACGATGGGGCTTTCTACTCCCGTAAAGATTTACACCCTCGGAAACCCTGTACAGGGTCGCTATGGGTCGGAACCGACTCAACGGCACTTAACAACAACAACAACAGGAAGCACTAGGGTAGGTAGGGAATTACACACTTCCCTAAACTACGTCTATAATTCTGTGCCTGCTCTGCTGCGGCCTACTTACAAAAATGTGGGGGGGGGTTTTTTGTTGTTGTTTTTTTAAAAATAGGATGCAATAGAGCATTTAAGAATTTCCTAACTGCAAGGCTGGCGATTCAAGGTCACCAACAGCTCCTTGGAAACCCTACACAACGTGGCTATGGGTTGGAACTGACTTAACAACCACAAATCGATGCATGCAGATGCAAACGCATAAAGTAAGTCTACACTGTACAGATGCTCACTGACACTATGAAGGAGGAGGAGGAGTGACAGGATGTGTGCTGACGAAACATCAGGGGTTACAGTCCATTACTGTAGACTGTCATTACTCAGAGCTGCACCCCAGAAAAAAGGGTCGAAACGGCAAATCAAGGGGTTGCTATAATTCTCTCACACTAGCCGCAGCTCCAGAGCAATAACGACTGCACCTGGTGACACCCCTAGACCTGTTGCTGTCGCGGTCGCCCTGCGGGACAGAGAACCACGCTGCAGGGTTCACCAGGCTGCCACCTGGAAGCAGGTCTCTAGCTCTTTCTCCTGCAGAACAACTGGAAGGCTCCAGCTGCCAACCGTTCAGTCCGAAGCCAAGTATTTACTTAACCACTGACAATTACTTGGTCCAAATGCTGAAGAGGACCAGTCTTTTTGACTCCAAGTTTAGGTTCAGGGCTGTTTTTGGAATTTCTGTTGTTGGGGTTTGCCTCGGGCAGCCGAGGCGAGCCCTAAGCAGGAGAAGGCAATGGATGCAGGCCTACTAGGTCTTCTGCACCACACAAGAATTGGATGGTATTTGGTTACCATGACTGAACACTTTCATCAAGGACCCAACAGATGGATCCTGAGCAAGAGGAGGAAATGGTGAAACAGAACTTCAAAATGATTTGGAAAGCAGACTTAGTGAATCTAGTGAAACCCCCAAATCTATTATTGTCCAGAAATAATCTTTAAACTTTGAGCTGAAATCATCTTATGAAGCTGTCATTAAACAATAGTTTAACTCCATTAATAAGGAATGCTTGCCTTGAGTGCTGTGTTCTTATACAGATGTGAACATTCATCTAAGCACAGAGTCTAAATGAATAACAGCAAGATACAGGTAGGGTGGGAATGTCAATTCACAGGACTGAAGCCTACAGAGAAACGATGAACTGTGGCATTTGTTGCTTCTGGATAATGTCACCCCCCTTTCCCACAAAAAGAGAATGCATAAGTTTTTTTTTTTTAATAAAAGGCTCTAGGTGATGGGGTTTGAGGACTTTCTCCCATTTAATTGTGTAGTTTCAATTTTCTAGAACAAAAATGTATTATCTTTGTGAAATAAATGAAAAACTATTTTCTATGGCCTCAAAATGAGGTAATAGCTAACTCCGATATAACTGTTCCTCAATGGAACTCGATGAAGAAAATCTACACAGTTGACTTTAGATCCTGATTGATAATCTCGGCTTTGGAAAACGACAACAGTGACAATGCAGTCTGAACTGCAGTACCGTAGTCATCAGCAGGACCACAGTGAGCTTCGGGCACGAACTGTCCCACCTAACTCCCAACAACTTGCCTACCGGTAGGGAGGCATCAACATCAGAAAAATGCAGAGCAAGGATCCCAGCTTCTCATATGTCAACAGCTTGACACATAAATTAACTGCAATCAGAAAAATTCTCAGTTACTCTAAATATTTGAATACATGAACCACCAGTACAACCCTGATCCCTAATTGTTACAGTTTGGAGGTGCTGTCAAGTAGGCTGTGACTCGAGCAGCCGGCACAACAAAATGCAACAGCGCCTGGTATACAAGCAGCCTCACAATCGCTGGGAGTCCATCCTGCTGGGTGGGGCTGTCCTCTTTTTCGTTGACCCACCACTTTATCAAGCATGATGTCTTTCTTCAGGGACCAGCCTTTCCTGTTAACATGTCCAATGTATGAGGACAAAGTCTCACCATCCTGGCTTCTAAGGAGCATCCTGGTGTACTTTTTCCGACACACATTTGTTTGCTCTTCTAGGAGTCCATGTTACTTTCAATATTCTTCGCCAACACCTTAACTCAAACGCATCAATTCTTCTTGGGTCTTCCTTATTCACTGTACAACTTTCACATGCATATGAGGCTACTAAAATTACCATGGCTTTGGTTAAGTAAGTCTTAGTCCTCAAACCAACATCTTTGTTCCTGACCACTTTAAAGAGGTCTTGTGCAGCAAATAAGCCTAAGGTAAGAAATCATTTGATTTCTTGATTGCTGCTTCCTTAAGTGTAGACACGGTCAAAATGAAGTCTTTGACAATTCCAATCTTTTCTCTTTTTATGATGGATGTTATTCACCGGTCCCGTGGTGAAGATTTTTGTTTTCTTTACATTGAGGTACAACCCACACTGAAGTCTGTGGTCTTTGATCTTCAACTGTATGTATTTGAAATCCTCTTTGCTTTCATTTCACCAAGTAAGTTTATATCGTGTACATATTGCAGGTTGTTAATGAGTCTTCTTCTAGTCCTGATGCCATATTCTTGTTCATATAATCCAACTTCGCTAATTATTTGCTCAGCACACAGATTGAAAAAGTAAGGTGAAAGAATACAGCCTTTCCTAATTACAAACCATTCAGCGTTCCCTTGTTCTGTTTTGAATGACTGCCCCCTGGCCTATGTACAGGTTCCTTGTGAGCACAAAGAATTCTTCACATTGCTGTCCAGAGCTTGTCATGATCCACACAATTGAAAGCCTTTGTGGAGTCAATAAAGCACATGTAAACATCTTTCTAGTAATCTCTGGTTTCAGACAAGATCCATCGGACATCTGCAATGGTATTTCTTGTTCCACATCCTTCAATCTCTGGCATATCCCTGTTAATGTACTGTTGCAGACATTTAAAAATTATCTTTGGTAAAATTTTACTTGAATGTGTACCAATGATACTGTCCAATGATGTCCACATTCCATTGGGTCACCACTCTGGAATGGGCACAGATATGGATCTCTTCTAGTCAGTTGGCCAGGTAGTTGTCATCCAAATTTCTTTGCATAGATGGGTGAGTGCCTCCAGTGCTGCCTCAGTTTGTTTTCAATTGGTATTCCATCAATTCCTGGAGCCTTGTTCTTTCCCAGAGCCTTCAGTGCACCCTGGACCTGTTTCAGTACCACCTCTATGAACTTATAATGAGAACTGTCAAAGGCAAAGACTACTAGTTAACAGTAGTTAAGTCAACTGTAGAGATGAGTGAAACTTCATCCCAGCAGGATTAACTTTGTTGTTGTTAAGTGCTACTGAGTTGGTTCTGACTCCTAGCGATCCTGTATAGGGTTCCCAAGGAGCAGTTATGGGTTTGAACTGTCAACCTTGTGCTTTTCAGTCCAGTGCTGATCCTACAGCACCAACCAGAAGTCCTAAATCTAGACATTCCAAAAGTTTACTACACATGTGTTAGCATGTCATCGACATTATTATCTATACACATTATCAACAAATGGCCAATATCATGATGCCATCAAGAACGCTGTCTTACTAAAAAACTTACCCTCTTCCAAACATAAGTTTTACAATAAATTCACTGTTTTGTTTTAGTCAAGTTCATCAAGCTTACAAAGACTACAGCTGAAAAAGTGAATTCTGAGGAACGTACTCAGAATGTAGCTGTTAATCGTGATGTTAACAATACTCCAAGTGTTTAGTCCTTACTCTAATACTCCAGATGCTCAGTACTTACTCTAATACTTCATAGTTGGACTTCTTTTCTAGTGCGTTGCCGCGCATCTCCCAGTATGATCGCCTGAAATCAGGAAAGAGAAAATGTTATGTATCTGTAAACAATGCCTGAATTGATGCGTTTTAAAAACAATGGCGAGGAAAGAGTTGTTTTGAAACGCTCTGTGGCCTAGCTACAAACATCCCGTAAGCTGTAACTGAGGAAATCATTTCAACATTCCAATGAAGCGAATCCAGTCAGTGCACAACTTGTCTCGTCCTGAGCAAGCCAACTACTTCTTCTCAGCTGACGTAGGCCCAGCTCTTGGTGAAGCTGACATGTGAGACTGTGGTTCTGAGCGATTCCTCCCATCTGTCACTGGGTGTGCTTCCGGCTCACTCTAGAAACAGTTCACGCACAGAGAACGGTCTGCTCTCTATGGCGCTGGCCTGGGTGACACGCTGTCAACAATGGAGGCTCCTGCAGAATGAGTGGCCCAGACACCATCACTAAGGTCTTGTTGTTAAGTGCTGTCGAGTCTTCTGTGACTCATAGCAGCAACCCTGTCTAGAGTGTCTGGTGAATCTGAACCGCTGGCTTTGCGGACTGCCCAGTCCAGCGCATTATCCCACAGTGTCCACCAAGTCTAAGAATCTGAATCTCACACCTCCTTACTCCAAATGATGGAGTCCTGGTATGGTACTATCGAATAAACACTGCCCTGCTAATCACAAGGTTGGTGGGTTCAAACCCAAGAAATGCTTCTTGAAAACCCTCTATAGGGTCGCTATGAATTGGAAACAACTCAACAGCACTTTAACAACAACAAAAACTCCAACTGAAACAGTCTAGCCATTCCAGGGTAAACTGGAACCCATCCTTTCTGGAAAAACCGTGACAATACTAAGTATGATTCTCTTTTCAGAATTTCACAAAGGGACAACCCCCCAACCCCCCAAAAAAAAACCAAAAACAAACCCACAACAAGCTTACTACCAAGGAGTCAAGTCCAACTCATAGTGATCACGTATTGGGTTTCCAAGACTATAAAACTCTGTTGTTGTTGTTAAGTGCTGTTGAATCAGACGAGACTCAGAGTGACGCTGTAGAGAGAGTTTTCTGGTGGTGGTAGAAGTGTGCTGTGGAGTTGGTTCCTACTCACGGCGACCCTGCATAGATAGGGATTCTGAGGCTTGTAAATCGTCATGGGAGCAGAATGCCTCATCTTTCTCCCATGGAGCAGCTGGTAGTCTCAAACTGCTGACCGTGAGGTTAGCAGCCCAACTCGTAACCATTCAGCTGAAGCAGCCATAAATCTTTATGGGAGCAGAAAGCCTCATCTTTCTCCAACTGGGTGGACAGTGGATCTGAATTGCCGACCTTGAGGTAATCAGTCTAGTGCTTATCTCACAGTACCACCAGCAGGGCTCCTTCTCAGAACAGGATGAGGTTGGATTGAAGCTATTTTCTGATACAATGATACTGACGGATCATCTGAAGTCATCTTACAGAGGAAGGAACATCGACAAGACTGTGAAGGAAGCTGAGTTTTCCAAGCTTTTCCCCTTGGAGTCTAAAGATGTAATCACTGACACCAAGCAGTAAGAGGAAGGGAGGGGATGCAGGAGGAGGGAGAAGGATGAGGAAGGGAGGGACGTAAGAAGTGCCATGAGGAGGCCAGAGTAGAAAAGAGAGGAAAAGGCTGCTGAGGACCAGGGGCCACTGCCGGGCATCTGACGCTGCATGCCCCTCTGCGGGTCTGTTGTGGAGGAGGGAGGAGCCCTGAAGGCACAGCGGTTAAAGCACTTGGCTGCTAACGGAAGGTCAGAGGTTTGGGCCCTCCTAGCTGCCCACAGTCCGCGTCTGTAACCCTAGGGGACAGCAGTGGGTTTCGCTGCAGCAGGGGAGAGGGCCGCACATGCTCCATCAGTCACGATCGAGAGGAAGGTGAGGAGATAGAGGCAGAGATGACATTTGTAACTGGAATCCAGAGTCCAGGCTGAACATGAGCGTCCATGAAAGGCTGCAGAAGGGCCGGCCTGCCTGCCTGGGGGTCCTGAGGGTCCTGGCAGAACTACGGCTCAGCAGCCTCGGGCAGGGTGAAGAGTGAGTCCCATCAGGGAACTACCACCATGCTGAGTACAAAGAGTCCAATTGTACCCAACGGACCACTTGTCTTCAGCTAGCAGCTCAAGGTACACTTCAGTTAAAACTCTATCTAAAGAAGATGAAACGTTTTTATACTCAGATTTTGAGTGAAGATGCTCACGGTAACATTTTCTCAATGGTGACACGGGCCGTAAGCAGAAAGATACAGACTCTCAGCTCTCCAATGTCTTAAACACATGGTCATGGTCACTGTGGGGGCCACCAGCCACCAGTACACATTCCAGGTACTCGTTGCTGCCTGCCGGCCCCGCACAGTACAGGGACAGACACCCCACCCTCAGAGAAGGCCCTAAGGGGGAGCAGCGCCTCACAAACCTACTTGTTCTCTTAGCAGACATTTGATGTAGATACAAAGCAAAGGTATCTAACAGACGGTCACATTTCTAGAATTAGCAATGCCAATGTCATATCTGACCTGCTCAAGTGTTCACTCAGATATTGTTCATTTTACCGATCATCTTTATGAAGAAAGGACAAGTCTCAGATAATTGAAAACAAACATAAATGAGGAACAACGCTGCTGGGTAACTATCACCTTACCGTATTTCTAGACATCCCAACTTCAGCGCAATGTCCTGGTCCACTTGGTCAGCGATCTCTAACATATAATCACTCTTCACCTACAACACAAAAAGTGGAGGGGAGAGGGGGACATGCAGTTTTAAAGGAATGCACCTTCCAGGTATTTATTCCATAAATGTTTCCTGGGTACCTTTTGATACTTTCTTTATTCTGTGTCACTAATTACACAAGACACTGTGATATAAAAGTGAATACTCTAATAAAAAGTAATAATACGGCATCCTCCACATCATTAAGAAGAGCATGTTACCATCAGAGGTCACAGTATCACGAGCACTAAAGCAGGAGGAGCTGGGGCGCAGTGAGTGCGATCTACACCGCAGGTTTTGTCCCAACCAAGACTAGAAACCGGAAGCAAAATCTCCACTCCCACACACACTGGCAGCAGGCCTGTCTAGAATTCTAGACTTACAGGACACTGTCCAGACATGTATACAAGTGTAAATCCATAGCATTTCAAGAGCCACTCGGCTGTGCAAGGGCGGGGCTGCCAGCAGACACCAACTGGAAGTGATTCTTCATCTGTGTGGTAATGGAGTGTAAGGAGGCACACACCAGAGAAGCATCAACCACCTAAATGCCTTCCAAGCAGGCCACGTGGGCGGGTAAAGCCCTATTGCTCTCAGGCTGCTGGTGTTGCTGCTGCCGACACCTGGCAGAACCAATCCACAACACACAACAAGAACGCAGACGAGAGGAAGCCAAGGTTCAGCTCTGTATGCACAGAGCAATAACTACCATGGCTGTGGGGCCGGCTGCGTGCCCTGTGAATTGCAGCTGAAGGTCTGGTGTGGGGTAAACACATCCTTCCCAACTGGTCTATTTGCAGGTGGAAAAAAGTAACCAAATGCTACATTTCATTGATCAAAACCCAATTCTTATTAGCTGCACAAATTAAAATACAAAGAGGAAGGAATGTAATTTCACAGTCTTTATGGAAAACAGACTGAATTACGAACATGACTTAGAAGGTCTCAGAGTTGTTTTCCTAAGGCTTCGACCAATCAGGGGGCTTCAAAAGGCATGTGGAAAATGGCATGAGAAGAAATTTCCAGTACACAATTCCAAACTTTCTTGTATGTCACAAACCTCAGCATTTCTCAAGCTGGGAGAATTCATGAAAAAATTCAAGCCTCAACTTTCGTTATTAAAGGATTCTCTGGGCAAATTATTGAATGATGCAGAAAGCATCAAAAGAAGATGGAAGGAATATACAGAGTCACTGTATCAATATACAGAGTCACTGTACCAAAAGGAAATGATTGATGTTCAACTATTTCAAGAGACAGCATATGATCAAGAATCAATGATATTGAAGGAAGAAGTCCAAGATGCATTGGAGGAATTGGCAAACAAAGTACCATGAATTGATGGAATAAAAGTTGAAATCCTTCAAGAAAGTGAGGCAGCACTGTAGACACTCACTCATCTATGCCAAGAAATTTGAAAGATATCAACTCATTGGAAGAGATCCATATTTGTGCCCTTTCCAAAAAGAGGTGACCCAACAGAATGCGGAAATCATCAGACAATCTCTTTGATATCCCATGCGAGTAAACTTTTAGTAAAGGTAATACAAAAACAGCTGCAAGCATTCATTGACAGAGAACTTCCAGAGGTTCAAGCCGGATTCAGAAGAGGCCATGGAATGAGGGATATCATTGCTGGTGTCCGATGGATCTCGGCTGAAAGCAGAGAATATCCAAGATGTTTACCTGTGCTTTATTGACTGTGCAAAGGATTTCGATTGTGAGGATCATGACAAGCTATGGACGACATTGCGAAGTATGAGTATTCCTGAACACTTCATTGTACTCATGAGGAATCTG